TGTGACCTCGCCGCCTGAGATCGGCAGAGGCAGAGGTAGAGGCAGAGGTACTCGAGTCCGCAAACCAACACCAAGGTTGGCTATATAATCCAAGCGGCGGCGATGTTGATGGTGATGTTGATGGTGATGTTGATGGGGTCGAGGATGGTGGTAGCAAGGTTTATTGCAATGAGTTTTGTGACAACGAGGTCTGTTGCAGCGAGTCAATAAGCGTCGAGTCAGCAATTCAGTGCGGGTTCCTTCATCCCATTCGTTGTCTGCAGGCGTAAGCGCCGAGCTAGTGGCGGCGAGTCAGTGCTGATAGTGATGAGGCTGACAGTGGCGAGGCTGAGACGTAGGCGCAGGCAAAGCCCGAGGCGGGTAACTCTTCGACTCATCATCCATGGCCTCCATGCCACCATTGATCCGGAGAACCCACAGAATATTCGTCCATGCACGTCTGCGCTGCTCTTCTCCAGGGACTGCGATGCTTTTTTTGCCCATGCCACCCACTGCCGGCCAGGCTTGACATATCCTTCTTTTCTCGTCATGCTACTGCTGCTGTTGCTGCTGCTTAGCATTGACTGAAAACCCCAAGCTTGGATGAGCATATGCCTCTCGGGTGACGAGATAGCTTCGTTGGCCGGAGACTGCGGCAGGCTGTGACACAAGGCATCAAACAACACCTCGGTCGAGGCCGTGACGGGAAGGGTCAGGATTCACACTCGTAGTTGGTCGTGTGTGAGAGGACGTGCTGGTCGAGGCCGTGACGGAGAGGGCAAGGATTTACACTTGTAGTTGATCGATTCACCCTCATGGTTGATCGTGTGCGAGCGGGATGTGCTGGTTGAGGTTGTGAATGGGAAGGGGCTGTTCGGGCGGAGCCAATTTCTGGGGGTAAGAGGGATTTCTGGTGAGAATAAAATGTTAGCCGATCCCTTCGGATCGTCCTTTTCAATCGACAACGACAAACAGATTCTGAATACCTTTGAAAGTGGGCACTGGCATTATTGCAAGGACTGCAGTCAGTGGTCAGACTCCGGTCACGCCAGAGACCTTGACTGCAGTCAGTAGTCATTACTTCAGTCACTTAGTCATCCGTAAGCGAGCGATCTCATTGGTCGAACCAGGCTGGGTCCCTCTGACCTAAGCGTAGAAGGCTAGTGTATCTCGGCTAAGATTCCCATTAAGGCTAAAGTCGTTTCACTACCAGCGCCGTCACAGAAGCTCGACTACACGGAATCTATAGAATCAAAGTGTACGTTGAATGGAGGCCATATCAAGGGACAGAGTATCAGAGTGGACGCTCATATCTGTGCCGCCAACGATGGATGCGTCTAGCACGGCTGGTTGGAGACTGAAGGAATTCATCATGGGAAATGGAATTGATGAAGCTCATGCAGTTACCTTCCTTGTCGGCCGCGGCGAAGTATACATTGTCGCTGTGATTCTGAGCTCGCATTCGCACTGGTCCATTCTGGGACATCAGAAACCCGAGTGCCGGATGTCATTGGTGTCACCACCAGAGCGCAAACCTCTGCTGCCGCGGGCTCAATGCTCCAGAGCCTCCTTTTTTTTGCAGCGACGGAGTTTTGCATGAGTTTTTGCCATGCGTATTTCGGCAGATCGACCCTTCGTTGGGATAGGCCCAGCCCTTGGAGCACCCCCCCTGGTGGAGCTCTGCTTGAGGCACAAGTATCAGGGGGAGATGTTATAGATGCTGAAAGGGATTTAGTAGTGGCGAGCACGCGACCATAAAAAAAGTACTCGAATTTAATGTTTTTGTCGAATGCTAATCGATCACAGCGAGTGCCAGGGTTTTTTCAACTTGCAACGGAAGGGAGAAGGGAAGGGAAAGGCAGGAGGAGTCTGTCTATCCGTCTCATCAGTCTTTGTTTGCGCTTTTGCTAATGGCGGGGCCTTTCCCGAATTCCACTGCACGGCTGGGGCTGCCCTTTACGCAATATCGTTATCGTGTTGTGGACTGCTGAAGAGGAGTGATATATGAACGGAAGTCCCGCAGCTTTAATCCACAGTCCTTGGAGATGACCCAACTTATCGGTGGCATCAAATGGGAGGTCAGTTACGAGGAGGATGACGAAGGCCAATATCACTCAACACTCTGAATTGCGGCCCTCGGGACATGGAACTTGCTCGCGCGCATTCAAGCTATTCCAGAGTGAAATGCTGGCAGTGCGAACGAGGCGATAGGGCTAGATCTAGGGATGACATGGTGAGCGTGTGCTGCCTGTATTGACTTGATGCATAGCATCGAGTCAAACACCTAATAGACGTGGATTTTGGACGAAATGCAACCGGTCCAAGAACGCCGCGTGACCAGAAGAGAGAGTACTCCCTCACAGCCAAACCTTCCTTTCCTGTTATCCCATGTCACATGCCCCGCCCCGTTATTATTATAATATTAATTACTCCGACTCAATTCATTTCAACAATTGTCGGATCAGGACTGCATCACAACAGCTTTTCCACCACTTCGAATCTGATGACTGCAATCTGCGTTGTTAACACCAACTCGACTACAGGCCTCATAGTGAGAGAAGTGCAAGGGAGAAATTGGGGTTGAGCGCTCAAGGAGGAAGAAAGAGAAGGAGGTTGAGCAGGAGGGGTCCGCGTCGAGAGGGGAGAAGGTCCGCAAGGTCCGGGATTCAAATCTAATAAAAACCCCCCTGGGGCTTTTCCCTGAACATCAGGTTTTTTTGCCGTTTTTGTTTTTATTTTTGGGTTGTGTGCGTGCGTGTGCGTGTGGAATGGCTGTTGTGCCCTATACATATGTCGATGAAGCACTCCCACCGGCCAACCTTGGCGACTCTCAGGGGTTTGTGTGCGTGTCTCCCGGCAGCCTGAGGACCTTGTCGGGGACCTTAATATACCCCAGCCGGAGCAACGTGCGATGATTCCACAATGTCAACACAGATCTCTCCTTCTATATGGCTTCCCCATTGTCACGAATAGTTGCCCTGGATGCCTATACATGTGGGACCAACTTGATTGATTGATTGGCTATCTCACTAGTGGGGAGACGCGTGCGGCGGTTTGACATGCCGACGTGAAAATCAAGCCTGGCTAACCTTCCTATTTGGGTTAGGGCAACAATGCAAGATCCGCACGAGATGCAAGATTCGCGAGCTGCAAGATAAACGAAAAAAAGAGTTGCAAGACAGACGAGTATGCAGATACGCAAGATGCTTCAATGTGCAACTTGGATTGTGTGTGTGTGTGTGGTGCAGACAACAAGTTGAAGTGGCTGCCGAGTCTTTTTCCGACAAGCAGGCTGTCAAGGTGGCTGCATGACGTGGGTGAGTGAGTGAGTGCGCTGCAGAGTGAGTGCCTAGATGCTGAGTGCCCGAGTGTCGACTGAGTGCCCATCGCCCTTTGACACTGAGTGTCCGCCCAGGGCCACTCTCTTTTTCGACTTTGGAGCCAAAAAAACGGCTTTCCGCGCATCACGTACCAGATGTCTCTCGGGCAGCTGGGCCGGGCCTGATCTTCCTGGGTATAATGAGCGGCTGCATCGTCGGCCTGACCTGCTACTACGTCTACTTGCCCCAGAGGCAGAGGGAGAGGGAGAAACGTCTGAGTTGTGGTTTGTTCGTGAATTAGTCATGTGTGACTACACCGCTGGGTTCAGCGAGGCATCGTACAGCGACCCTGACTCCACACAATCGACATCTTCACCGATCTGGTAATTTTTGATGTGTCCATACGCGGCGACCACGCCATGATGGTCCAAAATGTGGTTTGCCGCGACTCTGACTGCTTTCGAGGATGTGTTTGTGGACCTCATTGATCTCTTCACGCAGCCGCTGAAGCATCTGGAGTTTGCGGGTGGGAACCAACTTACACGGAACGAGGTTTGTGACGTTGTCAGAATGTGAAAAACAATGCAAGCTCAGAATTGTGTGATCCGACAGATGTTGGGAAGAAACGTGGACTTGTCAACGGCTGGCGTGAATGCTGCTTCTCCACCGAACACTGCGCATCGGCAGCAGCTCGGAGTAGTCAGCCATTGCTGATCGAAAAAAGGTTGGGAACATGATTCGTGGAAAAAGAACATAAGGGTGGATCTTATCACAGGTCAGTTTATTTCATCCGTAGCCATTCTCCACGTTAAACACTCAAGCAGGTCCTCCATGTCGTCAAAAGGCTCCAGTATTATCTTGTGTGCTCTTTGCTTGGAACGGAAATGAGCCTGGGAGCATGCGTGTGTGGTGCCGGACGGCCTGACGCAGGCAGTTCAGGGTTGCGCGAAACGCTTTCCTCTGCGTCCAGTGTATCGAGGCCGGCTATTGGTGTCCTGTGCTCGTGCGATGGATGGGGCAGGTTGGTTGGCAACTGAGTTGGCGGCGAGCTTGATGCTGCAGTGGTGTCGCCGTGGCACAACGGTGTTGGCTTACATGCAAAAATAGCAAAGTGATGAACGCCTCAATTGTGCCCTCTATGTATGCTACGAATCGATGTGCAGCAAACCTCCCCGCCTAACGGATGACACCGACTCCCATGCCCCGCCAGCTCATTTCCCAGCTGATATTCACCTTGCGAAGTGCTTTCCGTGGGCGTCTAGTGTTTGTCCGTGCCTTTGTTATACCCTGCTGCTGTTTTTTTGGGCGCCCTCCACGCGCCCTGGGATGCACCGGCCCAAAAGGGTCGCCTAGCGCATTAGGCTGTGTGTCTGTTCATGATCGATCTCGGGTAACGCCTCGGTTCTGGCCTTGTTGTCGCTGACCGATAGCGCTTCCCGCTGCCTCGCTCCGTCATCGATCTGAGTCGATGCCTCTGTATCGGCCTTACTGACCTGTGACGCTTCACGAGCGGGGCCACATAGTCCTCTGGTAGCATATTATGGTGTCTGGTAGCGGACTTCCCGACACTTTGCGGTCCGGCACTTTCGTTGTCACGGGTAGGGGGCCCTTTGCGCTCAGGATTGCCTGCAGTATGCTCTCAGGGCACTGCTGGGGTGGTAAAAGCCGCCGGACATTCTCATCCGCCGGCTCGCACGGGTGTGAGGGGGTCGTGTCTCCGTGCTCTGAAACGGGCGGGGACGGAGACTGAGGCCTTCTGGATGTGTTCAAGCGGTTGGCACTGGTCTGCACTAATGGACTGAGCAGTGGCTTTGTTTCTCCTTGGGCGCTATTGGATTCCCCATAAGCACCTTTTGAAAAGATCACGCCAAACCCTTAGTATACCGCGCCGGATCGGCCGGTCCGTGTCGAGCAGAGAAGTATCCCTCTTCCAGGCAATTCGGGCGATAACAAAAGTCCTTGGTGTTGGACCTGAACACTCTTTCTTCGTCCGTCTTGAGCGTAGGTACCCACAGCCAAAAGCTGAGCCCAGGCAAACTTGTCTTGGCCGGATGGGTGAGATCCAGAGCCTCGTGGAGTCTCCGCTGGAGATCGAGCGGCGCCATTTGGATGCCGATGTAGGAATGGTGCAGCAGGGGGGTGGTTCTTGGGGCAGGCCGTTTCTCGGGGCCAATTGTATAGTCGATGCGAAACTCCGAGCTGCTGCTGATACCACTCTTGGTGTTGAGGGGGCACAGTGTGTCGCGTGACTTCTTGTCATGATGATCTGATGTCTCAGACATGGCGCCGTGGTGCCAGCCGTTCGACCGCCCTGGTGGCTTGAGGAAGGAATGCCACAATATGTCACCGTCGAGTTCGATGTCGGCACGCATCTTCCCACGCCATGCTCCTGGCTGCTCGTCGTCAGCCCACTGCTATGTCCGGGCCACTCACTGCTATGCCTGAGCCACTTGGTGCACCGGGAGGGGTCGAAGGGGTGGAAGGGTTGGAGCGCTAGTCAAAGGAGGGGGGGGGGCTGACGTGGGATCATGGATGATAGCCCTTGTTGAATAGATAGCCCGCGACTATCAAGCCCGCACCTCCAAGCGTGTCTGGACAAGAACGTGCGGCGTCTCTTTTCAGGCTCGGGGACCCCAGTCAATGCCAACTCGGAGATTCCCAGCAAAACTGCCAAAGTGCCAAAGTTGCCAAATCCCAAAAGGCCAGAGTTGCAGAAGTCCAACAGTTTAGTCATCAAGCACACTCGCGGTCGACGGTTGGACAGAAAGTGATTTTGGGACGAAAAGCGTGGGTTCTGATTGGCCGCTAGTCATACTTATTGAGAGTGGGGCATAGCGAATGCAGCGAGCACAGGGAAATTGAGCACTCGGTCAGTCTCAGTCGACACTCGCAGGCGAAAAGGCAGAGGCCAGAGGCCATAGAGTAGAGGGTAGAGGGTAGAAGGACTCCCAGAACTCCAACATTTATTTCACTCAGCACTCCCTCTGCAGGGCACTCACTCACTCACCTATTCACTTACTTCGAGCGTCGGTCGAGTGCCCCTGACCCCTCTTTGGTTTTACATTCAAGCAAACTCATACAAACTCATGCAACTCATGCAACTCGCACAGCTCAGACAACTCTGGGAGTCTTTTTCGGAGAGGCTCTCAGTAACATTCCTAGTCAGTCATCCGTCAGCATTGGTTGCTCCTCTGGACCTGCCAAAGGGAGCTCTCCTATCATCGATGCTGCCTGCCTCCGGCGGCGGGTGCATACCACTCTTGACTCTCGGACGCTTTGCCCCCAAGCTTTCAACGCGCCGATCATCGCCGCGAACGTTTGGAATCGCCCTCGATGGCATCTTGAGACATGGCATCGAGCTTTCTCTTCTTCCCGGACTGAACACTGTCGAGAACTGCACCGATTTGAGTACGGCGACGGTCTCTTCCCCACTCGAGTACATTCCGGGTAAAGCGGCGCAAGAGGAGGTAATGTTCAGGCAGATATACCAAAGCCCCTCCGATTTGCTGGGTATAGTATATTCCGCCGCTCCCGTCGTCTTCCTTTCATGATACCAAGAGGCGGGCTTCGCTTCCGTTCATGGCGATGCTGAAGACCGTCGTGTCCACGGTGAAACAGTCGATGACATCGAGAGTCGTTCGATATATCGGTTGAGCTTTTCGGCCATGTTGATACAGGTTGCCGCGCCTCCTAGACATTGGTTCGTGGCGACCCAGAGGCTTCCCGCGGTAGGACCAAGCCCGTCACCTTTGAATTCGATGACGAAAAATGGATAGATGAGTCCTTGACTGTTGGCAGTATATTCGATGCCATCCATAGTCATGAATTGTCTCTGCTGTCTCGATGTGAAGTCTTTCCAGAAGTAGCCGTAAAGGATATCCGGCTTCGGCTGACTTACTGGAAGATAGATCTCCGAATCGTTGGAGCTTGGAATATGTTCTCTGTGTAAAGGGTAAAATCCCTTCGTCATACCTAGACCTTCAAGTCTCCTTGAATGCGTAGGATCTTCGAAAATGTTTTTTTGGAGGTAATCGGTCACTATTACTTCGGCGCCGTTGACGTCGCTGAGGTTAGTCAGATTAGTGTCTTTTCTGATATCCTCAACTTCTAGTTCCGGTGACTGACGTTCTTTAAACATATCATCCACAAGACCCTGAACATGCTTAGGAAGCTTCTCACTCATGCTGCGCAAGTGGATGTTGTTATGTTCGAGGTTGCGTTCCCGGTAGCGAGGGGCTCCAACCAGGGAACATGAGGCTCTGCTCTCCGGAGAGGTTTCCGGAGTTGGGTCTGGTGAAGTGGGCTTCTTGGGAATTTCCAATTCGGACAGGATTCTTGTCGACTGGAAGAAACGGGAGATGCGAGTTCAGTGACTGTCCGACTTGGAGTGTTGTTTTCGGTCCTCGTCCAAAGATGCGAGCCAATCCTCGACGTTTGAGGTCTGAGAAGGGTTTGGGAGACGGAGGATTGTGGCGAGTGCGGGCGGACGATGAGGTTGCGGTTGATGGAGGCTCTCCAGGCGCGCTGGCTTTAAAGGCGACTCCAAAGCGTCGAGGGCTGCAGCCACCATGAGCTCATGTCTTTCTGAGAAACTAGACATCTCGATCGAACAGGAGAGTGGTCTTTGCATAAAACCATGTGTCTCGATTAAAGAGGGGGAAGGATGGCCTCTGGTAAGGCTGGGGCTGCGAGATACGGTGTCGTTGACCCCTGAGTTGTGTAAGGGAAACAAAGGACGAGCGTGTCGAATGTGTCGGTCTTTCTCAAAGGGGTCGTCCGGAAGCATCCTCGGTCGCCCACAATGCCTTTGTCTTGCAGGTGAGTGATGTTCTGGGTGCAGCCCAGCTTGAGAGACAGTCGGTGGTTTGCCACCTCCCCCTCCCTCCAAGAGGTTCGCTCGTCTGGGCATTCTTTGTCTAAGTCCTGTTCCGTCTCTTTCGGTAGTCCAACTGAGCCGAAACTTCGGGCATGCTCGCCCCATGGTCCGTGGTCGTGAAAGATGTTCCTCTGGACGGACCTTCCAGCGGCTGGTACGGGGGCCAGATTAGAAGGGTGGTTTTTGCTGTATCCCATACGCAGTCCTGCTGGAGTCAAACTCTCAGAGAGATCTCGTGGCGCGGAAGATAAATGAGCGCTGCAGAGCGGAACGCCGTGGTCTTGGCGCCACGAGGTCACGTGAGGTGCCGACCGTGACAAGAGCCGCCCGTAGGGGCACACAATCAGCACACTGCTTGCTAGGCTTCAGCGTCTGTCGACATACTGGGCAGAGCCGATGGCCTCATCATCATCATCTAGAGCCTGGAACACGGCAAAGGCGGCATACGTGACCTTGGTTGCCAAGTAGATACGGACCGGCATTCCTAGAGTAAAGACCATACCAGATTGAGCAGAAATATGGCACCGCCACATTCTTGTAGTAAGACGAAGTTGCTGTCAAGGCGGCGACCCATTGGGCTCTCAGTCGACGTACCTGTCGGAGACAGCATCCACTAGCGATTTCTCGTAGTTTGACTGTGTGTGTGCTGTGTGTGGTCAAGTGGCTGCAGAATCTTTTCTCCGACACGCACGCTGTCAAGGTGCGTAGCGGGCGAGAGCCATACCACCTACGGCCGTTATTGGCCACGTTGGAGAAATTTGCAGCCGAGCACGTCGGTGTGTGCGTAGTCGATGGATGGATGAGGTATTCATTCACATGGCTAGCTAGCTAGCCAGTTGGAGAGATGGGGCAGCGAAATATTTCCCGCTGCCGCAGGGACCCCTCTTTTTGTTCCGGATATTCGAGCATCGTACGGTACCACCACGACGGCAGAAAAGAAAGTCAAAGTCACCAGTTGGAAAGAAGACCTTTGAAGTAGCCAGTCGCCCACGTCGGGGTTGGTTCGAGGAGGATCGGGTGTGCGCAGTGTGGACGGTAGATGGACGACATGTAGTTCAAGAGAGATCGTACCACCCGCCGGCCGTATGTCTTGCACTGACTTGAGTGGCCACTCGACTTTCGTCGGGGGAAAAAACTTGGCCGTTTGCACCCGTTGCGTACACTTGCACCGTTGCGAATCTCCAATCTTGCAATAATTACTGCCGTCCTGGCCTGGTTGGAAGCCTCCTGTCCTCCTAGATCCCAACGTCTTATCTCTGAAGTCCTTGTCTCTTGGAATCCTTTAGTCGAAGCTGGTAGCGTTGGGCGGCGGGATGTATCGAGAGTGCTCAGTATCGACAGCGGCCTCAGCCCTTCTTGCGGAATGCCGTGTGTAGCTGGAGTTCGATATGTCGGCGTCGGGCTCAGTCCTCTTTTGTGGATTCAGCTTTCGGCGTTGTTGAAGGAGCTGGCCGCGGTTCCTTTTCTTCTTTGACTTGTTGCTCAAACCGCCACCAGTCTGCGAAGAAGCTGAAACCTGCTTGCGTATCCAAAGCGAGACCCCTGTGGCAAAGAAGAAAGGGCCACATACGAGTCAGGGCAGATGGCTCCTATGTATAGGATGGTCCCTTTCTTCGCTTTGGTGGCGGCAGTCTCAGGTTCGGCGACAGTCTTCGTCTTGGGTGCCTTGGGTTTGACGGCCACCCTGTCGAAATACGCCGCAGCTAATGATGATGTCGGTTGAGGTACTGAGATGGGAGTCTCAGGCTGGGTCTGAGGTTGGAATAGTTGCATCGGGGCTATTGCTCACACTGGGGTATGTCGTGATGTCGTTCTTGATGATGGCGTGCATGGCTTCGTCTTCGTTGCACAAAGGCTGTTGCTCCTGTTGCGCCTGAGACAGTTGCCGTTTTACGTGCGCTTCAGGCGTTACCTGATTGCGCCTAGTGCCAGGAGGTCTTGCGACATGGCAGGACTCAGGAGAGGTCTTCCTGGCACCTAGCATTTTGTATATAGACGATCAGACCTGGCCTGAGGGCAGGCACAGGTAGACAGACGAATCCATGACCTATTCACGATCCTACCAGTCCAACACCGCCGCTCATTCCGCGCCTGGGTGCGCGCAACGTCGGCAAAAGAGAATGTGTGTATCTCCCAATTCGTTGAAGAGGAACTGACATTAAATAAATGCTAACCATGGCTCTTGCAGAGTAAACACGCTGGTGGAGAGTTTCGAAGGAATTTGGGAGGTGAAAACGCTGAAAGCTGCTGGCAAGCTTCTGACAGGACAAATAGGCAGGCACACCACGCCATGACATATACGGAACCACCACCCCCCCCCTCCCCCCAATGAAAAGTGCAAACCGATCCGGACCAGGTTGAATGACTGACTGCTGGTGATGGGTAGGCTGCTCGAACCTATGTACAGTCAAGCATTCTGCGGCGACGAGGGCAGCGGTGGATTTCGGTCGATTTGAGTTTAATCCCCAACAATTGTCTGGAGAGAACCGTTTGGGGTTGCTCGAATCGATAAAGACGCCCCTTCCCCTTGTTAAACGAGCTTCTGAGCAACCTGTGGGGAGTGTGTCGAGAGGGAACGAGGGAACGGGTGTGTCAAATGGAATGGCTCCGTGTGAGCTGTCTTCTTAGGAGTAGCATCTCTTAAACAGGATTCTGTGGTCGCCTTGACAGAATCAGCCTTGCGATTATCCCCCCACAGTCCCCCCGGCCGGCCAGCACGGTCAATCTCGTTTTAAGGAGAGCTGGCAAAGACGATTGGTGACGAGGACCGACTGCTACTGAAGGTGAATGAGCTCTTAGCCGCAATGGATATCGCCACCAGCGGCCACCCTTGATATCAGCGATCGTGGTCGGTTCCACTAGTTGCGCGCATCGAGGACGAGGACGAGGACGAGTCTGGACAAGTCACACTGCAGGGTCTGTGGACACGCTTTTGGCAGACATTGGACAGACACATTTGCATGCAGCCAGCTTGGCATGGACTCTGACGCCGGGCTGAAGGCGTTGGTGGAGGCTTGCTAGTCGCGACCATAAATCAACCTGGGCACGCAAGTCGCCGACGTCGACGTCGACGTCGACGTCGAGAGCGGCGTCCTCAAGCTTGCTACGGGGCGAGGCCGTGGTAGATCCCTCAGGATGCTCCAGCCCATAGACCCTTTCTATAGCCATGGTACGTCTCCTTATGTAATGGAATAGGTTTGAAGTTAGGGGTGCCATTGGCTGCGCCTGCTCCCTCTAGCCAGAATGCCGGATGGGCATCACTCCCCGAGGAGATTTGCAAGTGTGCATACATCATGGGGTGAAAACCGAAGTATAGCACAGTCAGTCAGTCAATCAGTTAGTCAGTGAGCGAGTGCGTGGCGAGAGATTGGCGACGCAGATTCGTAAGACAGATCAACGAGCTGCAAGATTCAAGATTCGCGGAACAGATACGTCAGCTACAAGATTCGCCGAGAATACGAGATGCAAGATACATGAGAGAGATACGCGAGACAGATTCGCGAGATGAAAGATGTACGAATTGCAAGATACGAGATATATATACCTCTCCTGGCATATGAAATAAGGCAAAGTGTCGATGAAACGTGTGCAAACCCCTCGTGGCCAACACCCATTCGATATCGAATCCCATTTCTTGGGCTCGCCCTATGTGTATGCCGAGCAGCTATCCTCTATCCTCCCTCGGTCCCGGGTTTCTGCAGCGCCTCGAAGTTTACCAGCCAGCCACCGCGTCCTACACGTACGCGTGCAGCATGCTGAAGATGTCGTCAGATGACTCTGGTTTCTTCACCTGGTCGAAGTGCACCCAGTCCGTAACAGCGTTGAACCCAAGGGGAGTGTCCTCTAGGAGTCTGATCAGCCCTTCTCGTGCTTCCGTCATATCGGCCTTGAGACACGTCCTCCAACCGTCGAGAAACATCCAAATCAAAGGCCAGTCCGTGATCTGTGGTTCTAGTAGTGGATCGGGCATGCCTCGAAGTCATCGACTCTGTGGCGGATTGATGGGTGACAGAAACATCGACTCTTTAGCGGAATGATGAGCGACAGAAGCACCCACCGGTCGTGGCTGAACAGCCGAGGTGTCCATGGGAAGATTGTAATCGAGGGAGTCGGGCATATCTCGAAATCATCGACTCTTTGGCGGAATGATGGGTGAGCCCTCCTCGACATACCCCTTCCCCTTCCCCGTTACCTTTGGCCTTGGCGTTCCCTTCCCACAACCTGAGTTCGGTCACCTTCCGCCTCTCAGCGCCAGCACCGAGTGTAACGTATTGCCGCCTTCGAGGTCCCAATCTTGCGCGGTTTTCTCGTCCGCCCCATCCGGGTTTGTGGAAGGTGGTAATCTAGGGAGTCGAGCTTCAACGCCACAGCAGACTCGTACCCTTTCTTTCGCCCAAAGGGTCTCGCTTCCGGGTTTCTGGAAGGTAGTAATCCAGGGAGTCGAGCTTCAACGCCACAGACTCGTACCCTTTCTTTCGCCCCTCGAGTCTCGGTTCCGGGTTTGTGGAAGGTAGTAATCCAGGGAGTCGAGCTTCAACGCCACAGCAGGCTCGTACCCTTTCTTACGCCCCGAGATCTCGTTTCTGGGTGCGTATCTGGAACTTTTTGAGCCGTTCACCGACTTCACCCTGATCTTCTAGCGGCGCGGCGCCTCGGACGGTGGGGGTAGAGTCCTTGTGCGTGAGGGAGGGTGGGTGGGGATGAATTGGGACTCCCACCGCACCG